CTGTTTTCAATTTGTTAAATCGATTGGAGGATCAAATCAGCTCTATCAAACTCGAATATTGTTTTTGTGTTGATTTGAATGGTATATATATAACGACTGAAATTATTTTGGCAAGAATGTGAAAAATGGCGAGAACGAATGATAAATGTTCAGAAGAGAGAAAACAGTCACAGCAATATTGGTTAAATATGAAACTATCCAAATAAAAACAAAAAATTAGTCTGTCAAAATTTAAAGTAGACTTATGTATTCTTTTTGTGGCTTTACTTTAAACTCACAGTATTCTTTGTTAAAGAAAAAGAAAAGAGAGAGAAGCCACATTCATAAAGCCCCAAAAAAAGCTAACGTCTGAATAGAACCACAGGTCCACAACAATATTGATAGCTGGAGGACGGAGCCAAAAAGACAAATCAGTTGACGATGATGATGATGATGATAATAATAATAATAATAATAATAATAATAAATTTGAAAAAATAAAAAAATAAAAAACACTGGGACCTTCCCCAACTGGCCAACTGTCTAACACAAACTAATTATAATATTCCACATTCAATGTCTCGGACAAGCCATTCATCATATTCAATCACCCCCACTTTTAGGCACATGCATGAAAAATTCTACCACTTTTTAACTATTCAAAGGTCGATAATCGATTCAATCATACAAGTCTGTGCAGGTCGATATCTGCACTGCACAAACATTTGTAGGGCAAAATCTACCTATTCAAAAACCATTACTCTGACGAGTGACAAATAGTTGTATCATATTCGAAGTTACCTTCTGAACATTGACATGCATTCGAGCAAATACTACTGCAAGATGAATAATAAACCACAATTCCAAGAAAATTAAATCAATGGACACAGCACAATAGTTGTTGCAATTGGAAAAGGAATCATCACTTGGTGGCTTAATTACAACAAACCTGACTGCAAAAATGCAAAAACAATTAACTCGAGCGCCCTTTAATCTGAGTATACTATAGCACTTGGAACAAAAATGGTAAATAGTAAGAAATAATCTGGTACCTCTGTCATCTTTGACATGTCTTACCAATACTTGGATCAAATATATGTCAAATCGTTTGGTTTTCCCTGGAAACTAATACATCACACGACCTGCGTGACTTTAAGCAGACAATAGAGTGCAACAGTTGAAGAAAATCCTCGTCTAACAAGAACGTACAAGCTCAAGAAAGCTGATGTCTCTGCACTCTTGTTTGGATATGGAAAAACCTGTGGTGAAAGCATTTATCTTCTTTAATGGATAGTATAACATAAGCTCTAAATAACATATTACTAAGAAAAAAGAATCATGAAAAAAAGGCCCAATTACATAAAATTAAACGGAGAGATGGTAAAATGCAGGTTACCAGGGGATGGTAGAAATACAGATTTTCATGCAAACTTAACCAAGCACTAAAAGTATGGCAAGCATAAAATTCGGTAGTTTGAAATATTTTGTGAGAAGATCCCACTGCTTGAAGGAAACATATTTGGAGTAATGCTTGTTTTCAATTTGAGCTAATGAAATGAATCAAAGATAAAAGCAGTGGAAATTTCATGCAGCTATATGAGGAAAATGACCGAGAAAGGAGGATAGGGAGAAAACATAGTAACACACCGACAAGCTTCAGAAGAATACTACCTATGCAATTTTCATCTTCAAAGTGCAGGATTGCACACTTTTTTCAACTGCGCTCTTCTCTCCTTTTCTTTGTTTTCTTATTTTGTTCATCGTTTTTTATTGAAGATGTTTTCTCCTTCACAGTGAATCTCTCATTCTCAGGCTTTTCATCTTCTTGCTCTCCACTTTTCCTCTTCTTAGCGGTACTGCAACATTATTTGTAATTTCATGCAACGGTTGAATTCAATATATTGTATAAATAACACAAAATGAAAATGCAACGGCATCCACATGAACTTTATATGATTTAGTTAAGGTTCAGTGACAACCTATCAGCTTGAGACCATTTATCCACATTTTTATCCAACCATCGAGCACATCCAGTATTGTCAGCAGCTAAGGATCCTGATATATGAAGTATCTCTTCATCAAAGCTGCAACATGAATCATCGAAACCGAAAGTACAATGAGTGGTATAAGAATCTCTTTTTTTCCTTTTCATTTGAGAATGAAATAACACCTAAGGATGAAGAACACAATGCAACTGATAGAATGTTACATTTTCATCCAGTGAAACACATGGAAATGCACTGACTATGAATTACTTTTTCCCAACCCAACTGAATCAAAGTTTTGAGAAATAAATTGGCAATGAATTCTTATGAGCAGCTCTACTCCTTCGTTTAGGACTTGAACTCAATGGAACATTTAGTCACGCTTCCAACTAAATCATAGTAACTATCTCAGGAATTTATAATTCAATGCTAGTTTAAACATGTGGAAATTTGACCTGTCAACATCAATTGAGCATTGCTAGGTTACATACGCAACAAAATTTTATTTGTGTATTTATTATTTTATTTTATTTTTTAAATTGCAAGATCAGAATGCGGAAGCATATTTGAGCACCACAGTTAATGAAAACACAACTCTGACATCTCGACAAATTAGTCCATGTGTGGATGGTACTTATCCTAAAGAAAGAAAATTAAGGGCTTTCTTTCGGCCAAAGCAATTTCAATATATTGAGATACTTAAATACTAGCAATCAATATTGAATGTTAGACCATCACAATCTTGCCTCAACCTAAACTCGCATACAACCAAGTCTCTTAAAAAAAAATAATAAATAAAACATAGAAAAACAAGCCTAGAATCACGGTATCAAGTATCAACTATCAACATACCCTTCAAAAAAAAAAGAATGTTCAAAACACTAGAGCATGTGCAGAAACTGGTACTCCATAGCATCAATACTCGATCATGAATTAGTTCACTAAACCACAATTTGACTGGTAATTATCTATTCTGGTTACGTTGTTCCCGTTTCATAAACTCGCAACCTATGAAACACTCTATGCACTCCATTAAACAGAAAAATTACTCAAAATTATATTTTAGAGGAAAAATAATGATTTCACCTCTTCACAGCAAATCGTAGTGTGGTCCCCACTTTTATCTTATGTTTCTTACTCGATCGGCTAACATATACTTCCTCTCCACCTCTCTGCAGCAGAAATGAGAACACAAATACATATTAGAACTTCTCGAAACACAATGTTTAATGGGCAATTAATTTATCATCTCTAAGCACTTACAACTTTATGCTTGAGATCATCACGAATATCTTCATACGCAATACATGCGGATGAAAACCCCAGAACCACAGCATGAACCGACTGTGGCGTAATTTTAACAACCTCTCCCTCTGTCAAACAGATGGGCAATAAAAATAGAATCAAAAAGTCAATATAAATCCTCAACACAACATCGCAGAAACTTCAGATACTTGAGAATATTCTCCCAAAAAATTCAAAATTACCTAAAATCATTTCGGGCTTCGGATTAAAGAGTAACAACCTAGTTTTCAATCTCACGCCAAAGTATGGTTGAATCCCAGGCAGAATTTTCGCCAACGTACTGCTAGTTCTCGGGTCATATGCTAACACAACTCCTTCAAAAGTCTCATTGTAACTACAAATTCAAGGAACGAAAAATTCTTACAGGCATTTACAAAAACTCAAACCCAGGTGCAAAAGGCATATGCTATGAAAGGATAAAAACGATTTTAAAAAAAATGCAGCACAATTTTAACACATTCTGCATTAAAACTTACGCGAAGAGCAAAGAGCTAAGCTCGCGGAGTATAGCTTCTTTCACGCAATTCGCCTTTGAAGGATGTAAATACACAACTAAGTTCGCTTGAGCTTCTCTCAGTCCCTCCATTGATTTTCGAATACAGGGCTTCTCTCAGTCCGCTCCAAGGTCTCGCCTCTCGACTCCGCCGCTGCCTTGCCTCTCGCCGTCGCCGCTCCAAGGTCGCCGCTCACCGGTCGTTCTACAGAGGCTTGCCGCTTGAGAAAACTGAGAGTTGAGGTTAGGGTTACGCAAAGGGAAAAGGCCCGTCTCTGTGACTGGGTACAACCGTACAAGAGTTGGGTTTTAATATTAAATTATTTTAGGCTAAAATAAAAGCAAACTATACAGGGACAGAATTGGGCTGGACCATTAGATCCTAGCCCACTTAAGAAAATAGGGATAGTCAATTAGGATCGATTGGGCAGGCCACGTGAGATGGAGGCCCAAGCCTCGCCATTAAGATGGCTAATCTGACAGAAATATGAAATAGAGAAATTTTCACGTATCCTACGTGATTTTAATTTATTTACAATTCTACCATATTTATATTAATAATTGTGTCTTTACCTAAACCACCTTATTTATTTATATTAATGCCTAAATCATTTACTATATCCATTCAACTTCCATCCCCTTTTTATGGGATTGATTAGGAGAGAGAAATGAAAATATGCTTATAATAACCCATTTAATTCCTTAATTTGCGCACTGTACGTTTTTAATAGAGAGAGAAATAAAAACATGTATTGTAATTCACACAACTGTCCCAGTGAGTATATGTTGCGTTTATGTGAGTATATATTCAGTATATGTTGCAATGAAAAACATGTCTTTCATAATTTTTTTTTTTTTTTACTTTTATACATAAAAGTATATATAAAGTTTATAAACATATTATAACAGGTTACTTATATTTTCAAAAAAAAAATCTTCTAATATACAAACATATGTAAAACATATACTCCATCTTCTGTTATGTATCATTTTGTTCGGGTATATTAAAGGTATATGTTTTTTATATTTTTGTGGATGGAATCGCCTATGATGATTTTCATTCATTATATGATTAGTGGACTGTGTATAAACTATACATATACACAACAACAACAACAAAAAAATCAGTTTATTCTTGTATTAAATCAAATTTTGAATATTTTGAAAACATAAATGTCTATAAATTGAAAATATACTGTCTATATATACTCAACATATACCTGAGCAAATGTAAATAATCCCGACATAAAATGTCTATAAACTGAAAATATATTGTCTATATACTCAACATATACCTGAGCAAATGTAAGAATAATCCCGACGTAAAATGTCTATAAACTGAAAATATACTGTCTATATCCTCAACATATACTGATTGGGGGTGGTTTTTTTTTTTTAACCCTAAAAGATCCTAGTACTATTCAACAACATTCATTCAACATCCAAAAGCATAAACGATCCACAAAAATAAACCAGTTTTAGAAAACGCGAGACTAATCAACTAATTACATCATAATCAAAACATTGCGATTTTTCCACGATCAATGAAAATTTAATCGCCAATTTTTTATCCCAGCGATCAGTAAAAAAAAAATCAAATAAAATAATATTGACAAACTCAAGACTTTGGCTTCCCACCGTAGACCGGTCGGCAAATCGCCACCGGCTTCTGCAATTTTATGCAGAGCCCAAACCTCGCCGGACACCGCTCCAGGCAGTTGTCCCGCACAAACAGATATCATTAATCGAAAAACCCATTTTTGAATACATGTAGCAGGATTCTGATAATGGTCAAAGAAGGACGAGATGAAAGGTGCAGCGATTTATGTCTGCCTTTCTCGAAAATCCCGGTGGTGGAGGCTTGTCGGTGACGGCTCGTCTCTTGGCTTCAGACTTGATCGAACGTCGCTCGAGGGAGAAGGAGTTGCTGTTGTTCGGGACCCCTGGTTCTCCCTTGCTGCACGGCGGTCGGAACTCGTGGCTTCACGGCTATGGCCATGGTTGATCGGACAAGAATCTAATGAAGACGTCGCGCGGCTATGGTGGATCGACGAAGAGGGTTGAGAAAATCTTTTCTCTAAAATTCTGATGATGATCGATCAATTAATTAGTGCGAAGGGTTTTATGAGATTTTGAGCGAAATCGATCGATGAGGAAGAAGAAGGGTTCTGAAATTTGGGGCAAATTGTAGAAGAAGGAGATGAGAGGGAGAGAGAAGAAGAAGACGAATAGAGAGAGGGAGAGAGAGAGAAAGCGTGTGATAATTATAGATCCCACTAAATCTGCTTTTACCATATTTCAATAATCTAGTATGTTTGTAAATAAATATAATAGTTTTAGTTAATTTGCAAATAAATATATATGAGTTATAATTATGTAATAAAAATGTTAAGATGTAGTGGATGGTGTAATTTCCTCTATGAAATTTTTATCTCTTAACATCTAATTTAGTACTTCAGATTTAAAATTTTTTGGGCCAAAATAAAAGCTCACTATGAAGGGACAGAATTGGGCTAGACCATCAGATCCTAATCTGACAAAAAGTGCAAAAGCAATTTATGTTCGAAATATGAAATTCTTACATCTCTTATAACATAAAGTAATTCAGAATATAATTAATTTGTCTTAATATTAGGTTATAAGAGCATCTCCAACGGATTACACCAAACTCAAACCCATTTTGCAGTACAAATCTCATTTGCAGTAATTTATCTCCAACCGAAAAACCCATTTTCCAACCTAAAAGAATATTCTCGGAATATTCTATTTTACATCAACTTTTACAACTTTTCAATACTACCCACATATTTTACAACTTTACAAATTAAACCACACTATTATTTTCAATTCAATTTAAACTTTATGTAATAAAATCGGAGAAATAAATAGTAATTAAAAATAAAATTTAAAGATTTTTTGGTATTTTACATTATTATTGTGAATAAATTAACATTAATATGTATAATTACTCTATCATGAACAAATATAAAATAATATCATATTAATTATTTTAAATATCATATTATATAAATTTCATGAAAGTAAAAAAAGAAAAAGAAAATTTTTTGTATTCTTTAAACTTAATTTTTTATTTATAAAATTATTTATTTTATCATTTTTACTATTTAAATAAAAACTAAAGAAAATAAAAAAAAAAAACAAAAATCAGTTTTTATAAATTAAATAAACCTATAGGACCAAAATGTACTCGATCTGAGGAGAGAGAAGGTGAAGATCGCAATTTGCGATCGGTTTTTGGCACCGATTGGAGCTCTCCGTACTGCAACTTTTGCGTTTTGCAGTACGGTTGGAGAAGGTCTAACATAGTGGTTCATAGTGAAATATTTCAAGCATATAAATTGCAAATAATTCAAGCATATAAACCATAAGTACAATTTTATCGGGTTTGTTATGAAGCTAACAGTTGGCTCTATAGTGAAGTCAACTTTCTATATACAACAAATAAACCTACCATATTATCTGATTATATAAATAACACTAATATAATTTTATTAATATGGTTTATTTGTTATGTATAGAAGATTGGCTCCACTATGGAGCCAACTGTTGGCTTCATAGTAAAACCGATAATTTTATATGATACACGCGATTAATATCCTACTTCTACTTAATAAGAAACATTATCTATACAACTTTTAAACTACATCATTAATGGCACCCTTAGGCTGGAATTAGGGTTAATGAAATAAAAATTTGAGTCGAATTGTATGTTTCGATGCGACTCGATTCAAATATTTTAGTGTCCAAAGTTTTCGGTTCAAGTGTTTATATGTTGATGTGCAATTTGATTATTTTTGAAAAATTTTGGTTATCAATTGTTTCTCTAAGTTGATGTGCAATTTTGGTAGTTCATCTTGATTTAAAGACCTACGGAATTTTTTTCTTTAACGGTTTTACACCGAACTGCAATTGCATGTGTAATAACAGTTAAAGTGTATGTTTTAACTGATTTATAACAAAATTTACACCAAAAGAAAAGAAGTCTAAAGAATTAAAAGGAAATCAGACTTCTACAAAAATAAATAAAATCATTAAATCCTACCCCTAGAATAAGGTGACCATGAATAAAACCTATGAGGTGTTTGGTAAAGGGCATTACTATTCACCGCCCCCCAAATTACTAGTCACCGCCCCCCTTGGACAATTTTGCCTAGTTCGGCTCAAAAAAAAAAAAAAAAAAATACCTTGTCGGAGAAGAATCCTTTGCCGAGGCCGTAGAATTTTTTCGACATTTTTTCGGATTTTTTTTGATGCTCGAATCGTTCGTTGAAGTTCGGAAAATTTAGAGAGATAAAGTTTAGAGAGATGAAATCCAAAAAAAGGTTAAGGGCAAAAGAGTAATTGGGGGGGCGGTGACAAGTAAAAGGGGGGCGGTGAATAGCAGTTGAGTTGGTAAATGGCGTTTTTGCTATAAAATTAGCTTTTTTTTATTATTATATTAAGAATTAGCTGATTTGACCTTGTCAATCTACCAATACAATATGTTTTGGGTAACAACTTTTTTTATTAGCGGTTTTTGGCAAAAAGCCAAAATATGAAACTATAGCTTTAAAAAAAAAATAAAAAAATCTTGTACTTATTTGCCATTAATATTGTTTAACCACATTAATTAAGAGTTTCAAACTCTCCAACTATCAATTTTTAATTTGAAAATTGAGGTAATGATAACTACAATATTAAAAAAAATCTTAAAGTATATTAATGTTTTATTAGTAGATATAAATGATTAATGAGTAAACAGTTCATTTTATAAAACACGATTTTACAAACAATTAATACAAATCGTTGATCAAAACAGCTGATGCAATTTCCTAATTGTAAATAGCTAAGCGATGATTGTCAAACAACTCCATATAAATTTCCCTCATCGAGCATAATACCACACTTTATTGGATCATTTAGAAAAGGTCAAGAAATGGGGAAAGGAGCATAGGCTTTTTTGTTGATGGCCATAGAGTAGCGAAAAATAATAAAGGTTGTGACCTTTTTTAAGAAAATGAGATCTTCGTTT